GGTGCAGCCTGTGGTGCCTGGGCATCCGGAGGTGCAGCTTGTGGTGCTTAGACATCCAGAGGTGCAGCCTGTGGTGCAGGAGCTAGAGGTGCAGCCTGTGGTGCCTGGGCATCCGGAGGTGCAGCCTGTGGTGCAGGAGCTAGAGGTACAGCCCGGGATGCCTGGTCATCAGAAAAAGTTGTTTGGGCTCCTGGGGAGGAGACTTGGGCGCTTGCTTGAGGGTCTTTGTTAGGCTTCTTGATGTCTCCGTTGGGCATTTGGGGATCCTCATCGTTCCCATCTTCTGTTGGTGTGAGTTCAGCTACGAAATCTGTTAGGGCTTGTGCTTTGATGGCCGTCCTAGGTTGGTACTAAATGTCGAATTCCCCGAGTTCTACTGCCCATTTAAGAAGTCCGCCAGATACGTCCAGCTTTCCCAAGATTCTTTTAAGAGGTTGGTCGGTGATGACCACCATACGATGGCCCTGGAAATAGTGTCGCAGCCGTCTCGCTATCGTGACCAGAGCGAGTGCCAGTTTTTCTAGTGCTGAATAATTGACCTCTGCCCCCCGGTATGCCCTGCTCACGTAATAAACTGGTTTCTGCACTCCATTGTTGTTTCTAACGAGCACTAAGCTTACCGCTGATGGGGAAGCAGAAAGGTATAGATGGAGAGTTTCTCCAGGGGTAGCATGTGACAGGAGGGGAGGTGCTGCTAGGTAGGCTTTAAGCCTTTGAAAAGCCTCCTCTGCCTCAGGTTTCCACTCAAAGGCTTTTCGGAGAGTTTTGAAAAAAGGGAGACATTTGTCTGCAGATTTGGAGACAAACCTATTTAATGTTGCGATTCTTCCATTGAGGCGCTGGAGCTCCTTGGTTAAGGAAGGTGACTTCATGTCAAGAATGGCCTTGATCTTGTCAGGGTTCGCCTCAATTCCCCTCTGATTGACCATAAAGCCTAGGAATTTACCAGACCCCACACCAAAGGCGCACTTCTCAGGGTTGAGCTTCATGTGATAGGACCTCAGGACGTTGAAAGTTTTTTGGATGTGGTCTACTGCTGTAAGGCTCTTTACCAGCATGTCATCCACGTACACCTCCATTGTTTGCCCGATCTGAGACTAGAACATCTTGTTCACTAGCCGTTGGTAGGTTGCCCCAGCGTTCTTTAGCCCAAAGGGCATGACCCTGTACCAGTATATCCCCTTTGGCGTGATAAATGATGTCTTCTCTTGGTCTGGGGGATGCATGCTAATCTGGTTGTACCCCGAGTATGCATCCAGGAAAGTGAGCAACTCATGTCCAGCGGTGGCGTCGATGAGGAGGTCAATCCGCGGCAGTGGATAACTATCTTTTGGGCATGCCTTGTTTAGTTCTGTGAAGTCGACACAGAGGCGCCACTTCTCATTAGCCTTAGAACCACTCCGGATACGCCATTTCCCTGACTGCCCCGTTATCAATCAGCTTTCTAACCTCCTTGTCCATGGCTTGGGCCCTTTTAGTGGAGGTTCCCCTTAACTTTTGGCGAACAGGCTTGTACAGTGGATCGACATTGAGGCGGTGGGTAGCTACTTCCGGGTCGATGCCCTCAAGGTCCTCATGCGACCAAGCAAAGATGTCCATATTACGCTTAAAAAAATCAATCAACGGGGGAGCTAGCTCTTCAGAAAGGGAAGAGCCAATGTAAATTCTTCTGTCTGGGTGCTCCTTTTCTAAAACCACAGGGATGAGTTCCTCGACTGGTTCTCCTCTTTCTGTTGCGGAGTCATCCCTTGGGTCAAGGACCTCAACCTGTAATGCTTCTTGGGGCTTCCTAGCCTTCATAGAGGATACATAGCACTCTCTGGTTGTTATTTGGTCCCCTTTGACCTCTCCGACACCATTTGAGGTTGGAAAGCGGAGAACGAGATGGTAGGTAGAGGCCACAGCTCTCAATGTGTTAAGAGCTGGCCGCCCTAATATGATGTTGTAGGCTGACGGGCACTCTATTACCAGGAAGTTGACCATGACTGTGGAGCTTCGGGGTGTTACTCCGGCGATGACGGGAAGTGTGATGGATCCAAGGGGATACACTTTTTCCCCTGAGAATCCAATAAGGGGTGACCTGATTGGCTGTAGCCTCTCCCTGCCCAGGTTGAGCTTGTCATAGGCCTCTGCAAACAGGATATCCGCAGAGCTGTCACTATCCACTAGGATCCTGAGCACATGAAAATTGGCCACCGTCATGGTGAGCACCAAGGGGTCGTCATGGGGGTGTTGGATTTCCTCCAGGTCCTTGTCTGAAAAAGATATGACCACGTCGCCTTCCTGCTTCGGCACCTTAGATGGGCGCATCTCGTGGATATGTCTTGCCTTCCTGGCATGGGCCTTCATCGCGGAAAGTGATTCTCCCCCACCTGCTAGTCCCCCTGAGATGGTGTGGATTTCCCCCACTGGCTACTGATCTTCCTGGTTGTGAGGTTGTGGTGCTCGTTCCCTTCCAGCAACGTACTGGCGTAAGTGACCACGCTGGATGAGCCCCTCAATTTGCCTCTTGAAGTCGTAGCAATCGTCGGTGTCATGCCCGTGGTCACGATGGAAGCGGCAATATTTGTTAGGATTTCTGCGATTTGGAGAAGACTTCATTTTTCCAGGCCACTTTATCGCAGGGTTATCCTGAATCTGGAATAGGATGTGTTCCACGGAAGCATTGAGGGGAGTGAAGGGTTGACGGTTCCTCTGAGGAGCAGGACCTAGCCGGTCCTTGACAGGGACTTTCTCTGTCCTGCCATGTTTGTTGCTGGTCCCCTTCTTATCGTCCCTCTCCCTTTCCTTCCTTTTATCCCCTGCTCTGGAAGACTCACCCCGCCTGACCCTTGTGACGTCTTCTGCGTTTATGTACTTTTGGGCCTTGGCTAGCAACTCTGGCATGCTCTTCGGTAGACGCTTCAGAACTGAGAAAATGAAGCTTGATGAACGGAGGCCACCCAAGAAGGCGGTCATCGTCACCTTGTCGTCGGGTTCATCAACTTGGAGTACCTCCTCGTTAAAACGAGTAAGGTAACTCCTCAGGCTCTCCTCGCAGTCCTGCTTTATACTAAGTAGGTGCGTAACTGGCTTCTGGTGGCGACGCCCTCCAATGAAGTGTGAGACGAATGATCTGCTAAGCTCGGCGAAAGAGGCAATAGAGGCGGGGGAGAGCTTAGCAAACCACTGTCGGGCAGACCCCTTTAACGTGGTTGGGAATGCCTGCACATGATTTCGTCTGGTACGTTGTGCAATTGCATCAAGGTCTTGTAAGTGTCGAGGTGGTCCAGTGGATCCTTTGTTCCATCAAAGGTCTCCACAGATGGCATTTTGAACTTCTGAGGGAGGGGGTAGTTTGCTACATCAGGTTTGAAAGGCGTATCAGTATGCCTTACCAGGTGGTCAACAGTCTCGGGTCCCTGTGCCTTCATGGCGTTGAAGACATCACCGAGTTGATTCTGTACCGCCTTTATCTTTTCGTCCCAATGATTGGGGGCTCCTCTGGAATGATCATGGAAGTGGCTTCCATGCTCTATGCTTTAGTTTTCACCCTTATCCTCCTGGAGATAAGGGTCCTCTCCCTGGGAAGCAAGGGGAGGGGGAGGTGGAGCTCCCTCATGTTGGGCTTCCCGAAGTGAGGTGCCCAATGGGGCGCCCGGGCGTGGAGCAACAGGGCGTGGTGCTCCTTGATGTCCAGGACGTGGAGCTCCCTGGAGTGCTCTATGTTGTGCACCTCCGTGGGGCCCTCCATGTTGTGCATCTCCGTGTGGTACTCCACGTTGTGCACATCCGTGTGGTGCTCCACCTTGGTGTCCTCCATGCTGTGTACCTCCGTGTGGTGCTCCTCCTTGTCCAGCAAGTATGAGTTGCAGTAACTGTTAGTTTTGAGCAACCAGTTGCTTCATGGTCTCCAATATTTGTTGGGGATTCGGGGCTAGAGTATCCGGAACAAGGTTGATAGGCGGGGGAGCAACCTCCTCCTCTCGTGGAGGATTGTCTTCATGTTGGTTCATGGATCGAGTAGTGATCGCCATTAGTTAATGGATGTAATGTTCAGGAGTGAGAATTTTGTCGAATTCCCACAGATGGCGCCAAATTGATGATGCACAAAAATGATTTTGCACACCACCTGTCAAGTGTAGGTAATAAATACAGTGAAATCAATGAAAAAATTAAAGAAGACACGATTTATAGTGGTTCGGTCAATTCGACCTACGTCCACTCTTCAATGGCTTTAGTTGCCGGGTATTTTATTAATTCAGAGGTATAGAGAATAGAGATACAAGCTTTGAGAGAATGGAGAATCAAAGAAGGAGTGGTCTCCGGTCGTCGGTCTGTCCTCTGTAAGTGTTGGTGGGGCGTGACCTTCTTCTCTTGTCTCCTCACAGATTGGGGCTACTTTATAGCAACTAAGAGATCATTCTTGTGGAGATCATGACTTATCCTCAAGGCTACTTTATCGCAGCTAAGAGATCATTCTGGTGGAGATCATGACTTATCCTCAAGGCTACTTTATCGCAGCTAAGAGATCATTCTGATGGAGATCATGACCTATCCTCAACGGAAGGAGGAGGTTGGGAAGCTCTTCATGAAACGTGATCAAAGCTTGGACCGTTTCCTTCGGTGGTGCAGATAAGTTTCTCATGCTCTCCTCTTGATGACGTGCTAAGCAAAAAGTCTAACCGGTCTTGGACTGTCTTGGGCATGGTAGATTCAAAATGAGGTTGGACTCCTCAACTGGAGTTGGACTTTAACACATAAATTGGACTATTTGGGCTTAATCCATTAGATTATACTCGGAATAGGCACTTTTTCGAGTCGAATCTTAATCAGAGGTTTGGGGTACCCACATTGCACTATGTTCACTGCAGGGACGGAAATCTCGCTCTCTCTCTCATACACACAAGCACATACAAGAAAAGACACAAAAAGATGGCGATAGGGGAGAGAGAGAGAGAGAGAGAGAGAGAGAGAGAGAGAGAGAGAGAGAGAGAGAGAGGGAGGGGGGGGGGGAGTACCTTGTCGGGGTGAAGGTAAACCTTATCTCTGAAGAGAAGAATCACACCAGCCTCATCAAGAACTCTGGCAAAAGCCGCCGCCTCATTGACAGACTTGGCAAGACCCATATTCTCACAGGCTTCAAGTAGCTCCGAATACCCAATAACCTCCTTATCCTCCATCCCCAACTTCATCTTCAACGACTCCACATTCACCAATCTCATCAACCTCTTCGCCTCCGCAAACGTTATACTTTCCCCGTTAGCCCCTCCTCCACTCAAACCATTATCTTTACCATCACCACCACCACAGCTACCCGTGGCCGCAGAGATCGAAACAGTCGACAATGGCGCCAAAGATCTGGCCCCACATAAGCATCCGTAAGAATATTCATTAGCCTCCAAACAAGCCCTTATTACTTGTAATGACGACGTCGTTCTGCCTCTAACAGCGGACGTTAAACCCGGTTTCAACAAGTTACAAGAGGACCTCCACATCTTCTATGTCAAACACTCTCTCCCTCCCTCTCTATCTCTATCTATCTATCCATGTAGCAATGGGCTGAGCGAATTTTTGGGTGAGGGTTACAGATCTGGAAGAGTGTCTGTCGGTTAGATAAATGAGGAGACAGAAAAGTAATGGATGGAAATGGGTAAAGAGAGGGAGAGATGAGAAATAGTATATAAATGGAAATGGTGTGGTTGGGAATGAGTGAGGGAGAAATGGGGGAGAAAAAACAGGCCCGAAGAAGACAGTTTAAACGTAGGAGTGGCCACTACACACGGTCAACACGAGCCGCTTACTCGGTGTGAGTCAATGGGCCTGTTAGGTTTGTGGGTGAGTGGGTGGAGTAAATATTGGGTGTAATGCTCACACGTCATCAGAGCTAGGTGAATCCTAGTAGTTGTTAAATGATATGACATGTGATTAATACTCTTTATTTCTTATCAGAGATAACTCGTATTAGAAGCCACGTATAACGTAGGTAATAAATAATAAATTTTTGGAGAGAAAATTCAGTATAAATTATTTTAAGAGAGAATAGTGGCAGCGGTTATATCAATCTATTTGAAATCGTTGAATAAATTTATTAAAGTCGGTCTTATTTTATATTAAAGAATATTTATTATTATTTAAATATAAAAATTTGACTTAATTTGTTTGATATAATGATATGATTTCAATAGAATTATTGAATCAACACCAAATTTTAATATTTGATGGACCCATAGTCATTTCAAATGTCATAGTGAATTAAGTCATCAAATTATGTTAATAAATTAGGTCCTAATAACATTAGTCTATTTTTATTGAATAGTGACATCACTTATCAATAATAATGTGGTATTACCGTTATACTCAATATTTTTTTAGTTGGGTGGATGGGTTAGTGGGCACTTGGATAAATATTGAGGTAACGATAAAATCACGTTGTTATTATTATTATGTAGTATCACTAGCTAATATTAAACTTACAACTACGCAAAGTGAATCTCATTTCATAATTATTTTTAAAAGAAAAATTACTAATAAGTATTATTTTCTTTTTAAAAATTCATTAAACTCTATTATTTTTGTTTTATTCAATTGCTAATATTTTTTAGAATTGTAATTATGGAATGCAATTGAGGGTTTTGGATCTTATATATTCTCGACAGTGAAGAGTTTCTCGACTTACAGTCGTAATTAAAGTGAATATTATTACTTAAACAAAAATTGACTATCAAAAACAATAGCTTCAATACAAAAATTAATATTATTTTAAAAAAATTATTTAATTAATTCACATAAAAATGAATGACAAATAATACACAATAATAGGATATTTCTTAACTTTAGCAGTTTTTCAACAAAATAAAAAATAAAACAATATCAATCAATAATTTTCACAACGAAACGGACAGGGTTGTGGGCCCTTTTTGGTGTTCGTTGACCGTGCAAATCTGCAATGGCCGCCCATCTATGATCTATCCGCGTAGGAGGGCCCAGATACTGCTGGGCATGGGCATGTTTCTTTGATGTATCCAAGATTGAGATTGAAATAAATTAAGCGATTTAGAGAGGTCGGCACCTCCTAAAAATTAATAAGATAAAAATATTTTTTAAAATAATTGAAGTAAAAGTAAGTACTAAAACAAAGTCATAAAAATCTTTTTACCCCTACTATAAATAGTGTATACCTAATTAAATGTGAGACTTTCAAATTTTTTTTAATATTTGTGTATCATTTGAATTTTAAAATTTCAGTAACACGCTTAACAAAAAAATAGTAACATCAAACAGTAACACGCTTAACAAAAAAAGAGAAACATCAAACAGTAACACATTCAACAAAAAATCAGTAACACGAATATTTTTATTGAGCGTATCACTGTTTGATGTCACTGTATTACGTGTGTGTGTGTGTGTGAAATTTTAAAATTCAAATGATACACAAATATCAAAAAAAATCTTGAAAGTCTCTCATTCTAATCTTGAAAGTCTCACATTCAAGTAGGTATGCACTATTTATGGTAGGAGTAATTATAAAATACATTTTAGAAAGAATTTAAAAATATTTTAAAATGTGTACTTATTAACAACTATTTGATGAAAAAAAAACTTAAAAGAGGATAAATTTAAAGGTGGTACTTAAAGTCAAATAAATTTTAAAAAATATACTCACATTCCATTATCTCATAAATTAATTCAATTATTATTTAATATAAAATTTATATTAAATAATAAGGTCTGGTATTATAAAAATTTTAGTATTAGCCGATTTTAAAGTGTCATATAACACTACACACTTGATTCAAATCAATACTACATAATATAATAGGTGGAATTAAATGAGTTGTTATTGATATTAATGTCCAAATTGACAAAAATATCAAATATTTCTCGCTACAGAGTTATGTATTGATGTAAGATACAGCCATACCTCGTCCAAATATAAAATTAATATTATAATAATAAACTGAACACTTTATAATAACTCTAAATCAAACATGCCACGATAAATTATAATGAAATTAATTGTTTAATTCCATCACATAATTTAATGGTTATATTTTCTCTTTTATTAGTGGGAATTACTTTATATAAATGAATCTTATTCATTAATGGTAAATGATATCAATTACTATAAATAACTTTTTTGGATGGTACAAAAAAACAAATTTTCAATACCTTAAATAAATAGGTCCCATTAAAGGAGCTAACACATATCTATATAATAAAGAAAATTACAATTCAAATCTTAAAAGATAAATAAAATGACTTTTTTTATTCATGGTAAAAATCGTTTTAAATTTTACTTTAAAGTTAATCTAACGACTTATACTAACACTCTAAATTTAATAAAAAAAACAATAGAACAAAGGGTATGTTTAGAGTGATTTTTTTAAAAGTACTTCAATAAATAATTTTAAAATAAAATAAATGTTTGAAATTACATCACCACTACCTCTACCACCACCATCAGTGTCGTTGCCACCACCGTCGTCATTACCCCCGCCACCACCACCACCATTGGCCCCATCGCCACCACTACGCTACCCACCCCCACCCCCACACACCGCCACTGCCACTGCCACTGCCACCAGAACCATCACCGTCTCCTATCACCACCATTACTGTCCACCATCTTTCACCCCCATTACAAATCGATGTTTAAATTCTTTTATTTCTTCTCTATGTTTGTGATTTAATTTTGAATATAAATATAAATATATTTATTGTTTACTATTTTTTATTACTCTGTGCCTTCAGACACAAGCAATAACTAGTATATATATATATATATATTGCAGAGATGTTGAAGATGACAGTATCTTAACATTAAATGGTTATAAATTTCATTCATTGACCTTTTCCATTCAATTCTAAAGAAGTAGTGGAGGGAAAAAGGTCAAGTTAAACCACCAGCCCAAGCTGAATGAAATTGATAGCTATTCTTTTAATTGAATACACCAAACTCAACTAAAACTGAAACTAAATGGTATTCACCAGCAAAAGCATATCACAACAGATCATTCACGATATCTTGCCTTAGAGAGAGTTTTTATCAAACCTTTGACAACTTTCCAAAACCAAAACACATTCATCACTGTCAGCGCAACTGGTACTGTAAGCAAGCTGTAAAAGCCCAAGGGATATATTTTCTTGACCTGAAAATTAAAAAACAAAAACAAAGTGCCTGCATGCATGAGTGAGTGAGAGAGAGAGAGACAGACAGATGTCTAACTGTTTCATACAGGCCACATGGCTACAATCAGGCTTTACTATTTTGCTATGAAAACAGACACAGTGACATTGCTCTTTTACGAAGAAAGGTTCAAAATTTGATTATTTTTTCTGATCTTGGCATATTCTCAAATGGAGGGAGTGAGGAGGAGAAAAAGTATGGAAGTGATACACCTCTGTCTCAGATGCTGACTCACATTATGGTTCATAAAATATTTATATTATTACGCTTAGTTTGTTTAGTTGCCAAATAAAAAAAGACTTATTTGTTCCGTCATTGGGACAGAGAGATTAACAAAGTAAAACTCAAATCTTAATACCCTTCAATCCCAAATAACTGAGATTCCAAAATTTGACATTTTCCTATTCTTCATCAATTGAACATAGCATCTCTATGTTAATGAATTTTCAAGGTCCAAAACTATCTTAGTAGCACATGACCGTGAATTAATAATGCATCCATTAGCGAGGTTTTATACGTTCCTTGTGCTACAAGTCCAAGCCAGGACAAAAAAACTAATCCCAAAATAAGTGGTAGAAGGATTAGTCATTGCTATACAGGAACTGCACTCATTTTTGAACTGTTAACCTAGGGCATGCTCAGGTACATGGCTCAATGACCAGGCTAGTAGGAACAATCTTCAAGTGTTTATTTGAAATTTCATAATAATTTCAAAGTAGAAAACGACAGTCCTCTCACCTGATCAAAATGGATAAACATGTGGTAGAAAAAAAAGATGAACAGAAGAATCCTTGCTACCTGAAAGAATCAGAAGTCCACACGTTATGTAAATAAAATGTAAAATTGAAATTAAACACATGAATGAAAATTTTATTCATACCAAAAGATGACAGATTATGAAATTATATGATAGAGCTCCTGTCAAGAGAAAAAGATGTGATACAGCAGACACAAAACTTGGAACTCCTGGTTCAATAAAATGCTGTTGCAAGCAAAGGCCAACTCGGGGCTTCAATACTAAGGGAGCGACAGGTTGGATATAGTTGTCCTACCTCAATTGACCCTAACCTAAACCCAAACCTACCCAAATTCAATCAGTTTGCAATGTATTCCCTGTTTTCTCGTTTCAAACATGCACATTATGAAGCCTACCATAAAATTTATTTTGCAATATCAACTGGGGGAAAAAAAAAGAAGAAGAATTTGAGGTTTATTGGACAGTACCAGCCACCCCAGGAACAATGCAACACCATTGTAGACGTAGAGGTTGGATGTTTTCTGGCCAGCAACATCCAGGTACCTGTGTATGCATCAAAAATGATCAGCCAGAGTCAAATGCCAAGAAAATGAAAGCATTGAACTTCTGTTGGATGACTTTACCATCTTAAATTAACAAAGGGAGTTGTGCTCTCAGAAAAGAGAACCATTAGTATGTATATCAGTCCTTGGCCGCTTACAAGAGATTGCATGATCGAAAACATAGAGAGTGCATGGTGCAAGACCTAACAGAGAATGAGACAAAAGAAGTTCAGAAAAAAAGTTGCAAATAACTCCTCCACCACCTGTATCTTGGATTATTCTCCTTGATATTTAATGTGTGGAAAAGAGCCCCAACAATTTGTACAAAAGAAGTATGATTAACCAGTTCAACATCACAATAACTCATTCCTCACCAGGCATGATGACTTGGAAAATAGGACCATATGGAAATTTGATGATATCTAATCTTATCAGTTATCCAATTCAATAAATATTGGATAACATCCAGCATGCATCCGTATACTTACAAACTCCATACCGCCTAAAGCTGGAAATTGCCAAAGAATCATTGCCATGTCTGACAGAAAATAACCAATGGAGATCTGTACCAACATGTAAAGATAAAATCAAATGAAATAAATGCATCAAAAGATAAATGTTTTCAAAAATGTTAGTGAAGTATATTAGAGTGTCCCAAATGATAAATGCACGCTTCTTGGTACTTAAATTGAGTCCCCAACCACAACAAAAACAAAAACAAATCAATTGTGAATTCCTTCTACTAAATTCAAAGTCTATCTATCAAAGATTGTAATATGCATTGTTATAGTTAAATTCCTCACAACCATGCATAGACCCATACACAGAGAATATCCATATATTTTTCATAGCTGGGGCGTTGAAAGAAAGGAAATACAACTACAATTCAAAGGAAATGATATCCTCCTACGGTTGAACCAGCTCAGATCGTACTATTACTTTACATACTAATATTGAAGAGACTACCTCTGTAACTGGGCCTTATTTTGAACCTGACCCTCATGTTGAGCTATTACTTATTATTATCCATGTGTCATAACCTTAAAACATGAAAATTTGAGTTTATAATATGAAAGGAGGACTGCTATGCATAATAACATTATGTTCAACACAGCTAGATAAGAACAAGGGTAATCCATCAATTAAAGAGATGTAAAGGAATGCCAAAATAACTTCATGAAGCTGCTTTCTGCAACAACATACCCCCAATATTGTGTCTGACAATATTGATGTTCTATTAATAACTAACTCATCCTGGGAACCCTCATCAAAAAGATCTGAGACAAGCAAGAGATAGAGCGAAGCAACTGCCACAAAAAGCGCATGGAAAGTAGAGAAACCCCTGGACCATAGAAGCAATCATTATTTTAAGCTGGGTAAACAACTGAGCACCAAACATGGTAAATCACATTCGAACAACAGCACGAACCTACATGAAAAAGAACATTACCGATTTTTCCATTCAAGTTTTTGTGCATTGTTCAGTTTGTTATATCCCTTGAAGAACAAAAGGCTGACTACACCTGTTAATTTATAAACCTTCAAATACAAAATTGAACCCCTTTAAGATATGTATGAAATGACAAAAGCATATACAAATGGAAGTATAGGCATCCTCATTGTCAGGAAAGACAAACATAAGTACAAAACAGGGCAAAAAGTAAAGGAACACACATTCACAATCTTGAACTTTGTCCATTAATTGTTTCAACTTCGAAAAGGAGAAGAAACAATAAATAGATACTTGACGATGTTCACAATCTCAATTTTTTTCTACCAATTATTTCAACCCAGAAAAGAAAAGAAACAACAGAATAGATATATGACTACAGTACTTAATTCTAGAAGCCGCTAATCGGAACTGCTAAAGTTTTCATCTTTTTTCTGGACAACAATTTCCTCCCAAGAACCCATCTTATGCTCTCCATATTTTGTTATTGTCAAATGTTACTTTCATCCAAGATGGAGGGCGTGATCAACAACATTTTTTACGTTCAAAAGATTAAATGATAAAAACAATATGTCAAACAAAGTTGGCAGCATTCTTTTATATTAGTTGTCAATAGTTTTGTTAGAATAACAAACTACATGAATATGTCAAAAGATTGTCTATGAATTTTCCCTTCCAATAATCAGATTTTCTTTCGAAGTTCAAGAGGCAAAAATGTACAAGAGGTAGAAACAAACAAACCACAACATACCAAATTAACTGGTTGACCCCACTTAGATGTATTCAACAAAACCATCTTTCCAATATAAACATGCATCCATCATTCGGTCAACCACTTCAATTTCTCTAACCCATTAATTCAATCCATCTTTATTCATACAGCCAATTTCACAGTTACTGTGTAACGAGTAACACGAAGGCAAACATGGAACCAAATTAAACCACCATACTCACAGTTATGCACATAAGAACGCCGGCAAAGATGGACACCAACCAGTTTAACTCTTTGCTTGGACCGCCATACACAGCGACGTTAACCAAATCAAGAGGCGACGGCAAACCCAACATATTGCTCTCTGAGAATTACAATCTCAAACCAAACTGCAACAAAAAAAAAAATCACAAAGCTCTAAGCAATCAATGACTCAAAGCACCAATAAACTCCAATTAAAGCTTCTTGTACCCTTATTAAAAAAAACCCAAATAATAAAATACAATTAGTTGCTTAGTAACCACCACGATTTAAATATAACGCCTACAGAGAATAGGAAGGAGTAGGAAGCAAATTATCTTACTTTATGAACAAAAGGGTATATTAAAAATCGAGAGTTAACAAGAAATCAGAAGCATTCAAGCAGATTACTTTTTGGGTTTTTGAGAGAGAGAGAGGAAGACGAGAGAAGAGGGGGGATTAGATTCCTTCCCGGTTGAGTCTTGTGGGTGCGCGAGCTGAAAGAAAGCCGAGAAAAACGATTCGATGGATTGGAGAGCACAGGCGTCTGGGCCCGGGCATCGACTGATACTGTCCAATTGTGTCTGTGCATCAGACAATCACGCAAGAACAAAGAGAGTTACACGGAAAAAAAATAATTTATGGGCATTGATTTTTGTTTTTTTGACCAGATTTATGGGCATTTATGAAACTAACCAATTTGACAGGTGTAGTGAAGTAAAAGGAAGCATTTACTGAAAAAAAAAAAGTAAAATCAAGCAAGTGTTTACCCACTTATTATTATTTTATTTTTTGATATCATATTAAAAAATAAAAAAAATAACCTAGAAAAATTTTCTCCAAAAGGTAGTCAGCGAGCCAAAAAATGATAAATGAAATTAAAAGATGACTGTACCTAAAAAATTAGTAAATCCCAATACTCGAAAAATTAAGAAATGAAATAGTACTGATTTTCTTTTTGATATGTATAAAAATTATTCAATAGACGAGATTCACGAGACTATGATAGTCACTTTTATGAAAAGAAGCGTGAAAAAATGAAGATTTATATAATAAAATAAGATACAATTCAAATTTTAAAAGTAAATAAAATATTTTTTATTTTTCGCGATTCAGATCGTATTAAATTTTATTTTAAAATTAATCTAACGACAAATATTAACACTCTAAATTTAATGAAAAAAATAGGGGTTTAAGGGTGTATTTGAAATAATTTTTTAAAAATTATTTCACATAAGTACTTTAAAAAAATAGTGTTAAAACCGCTCCACCACTATCTCTACCACTGTCCCCCCACCACTGCCACCGCCACCATCACGGTCATTACCACCCATCACAATTATCACCGTCTCCTACCACCGCCACTACCGCCTATCACCTTTCACCCAATTATAACTGATGTTTAAATTCATTTATTTCTCCTCTATATTTGTGACTTGATTTTGGATATGAATACAAATATGTTGATTGTTTATTATTTTTTATTACTCTGTACTTTCAAGTACAGACAATAACTAGTATATAAATATAAAAATAAAAACAATAGTATCAAAACAAAAATAAATTATAAGTCATAGATTTTCGATTAATTTATTTGTAACTATTGATCGTTTAGATAATAAAATAAAATAAATAAAGTAAATTTACATGTATCATAGTCTCATTTAATGAAAAAAAAAAAGGGATATCAGAGCGAAAAATAAATTTTTATATCATATTTGAATCTTAAAGGTGAAATGAGGTTGTCTAGTTGATAGAATTTGAAAGGATTTGAATTCCAATGGTATTCAATTTCGAAAGAATAGGAACTCATTCTTAATAAGGAGATTTAAGTTCAAACCCTTCGACTCTATAGAGTTGTTTAAACTAATATCGGAAGATCACTACTAATGATAATAGGAATAATAACCATTAAGTCTTATTTTTCATTATAAAATACTGTTGAGTCCTATCAATTTTCTAGTAGGACAACTAAATTCTACTTTTTTAATATAATTTTAAAGAAATACAACTTCAAAACCAAGCTTATTTTACTTCAAAACCCTTAAAATTTACCTATTTAAACTAACCCTAAATAGATCCAATAACTTATTTGTGTTCTTCATCTTCTGCTGCATCAATAATTGGCTTATTCAAGTTATAATTCAATTCAATTTAATTTAATAAAACGTTATTCTAATTATTATAAAATAAAGAATGAATTCTAAGTGACTTTATTCTAATTAGTCATGCACAATATGCATTACACGTAAATAAATTTAAATAATATTCTTTTTATAAAAGACCTATATTATACGTGCAATTAAATTAAATATGAATAATTAATCTATATTTTAATTATTACTAAATTTAATTATTGATTTATTTTATAAGTTTTTAAGTAACTAATATGTCATTTGTTTAGGTATTGCTTCGATCTCATTAGGTATCTATTATTAATTTTTATTTTTTTAAATAGATTGATTAGATCACTTATAATATTATTAATTATATTATTACATACTAAAAAATAAAATATAACATATATTTAACCGTAAAATTCCACTTGATAACTACATGCGTATATTAATTTAACAAATATAAGATTTTACTTCTTCATATAAATATAGATAATTATATACAACTGTACTAATAATAAATGAGTTTAAAAGAATTTAGAAATTCTCATAAAAGAATTCAAAATAAGTTAAAAGTTAAATAAGTGTAAAAAAATAAAAAATTAAATAAAAGTATATATAATTGACTTTAACATAATAATAAACGATAAAATAAAATTAAAAATTTCACATATACTAATATTTATAAATAAATAAAAAATTGTATGGGGTCTGTCGTTAAGAATCTCATATTTCCGTTTATGACTTATCAATATCTGGTATTAATTCTCTCTCTCTCTCTCTCCGGTTTTTCTTTTATGGTATTTTTCTGTCTTGTCATCAAGTAATTTGGATGCATTGCAGTAAATGTTGAAAAGGACTTGTTGGACTTTGAGATACCATCCATCTAGTCTACGAACAAAAAACCATTTAATAAGGAATTAACATTAAAAAAAAAATTAAAGAAAAGTACCTAGGTGGGAGCCACAAACAAATAAAATAAATTAAAACACAATAAAAAAGATTAGGAAACACAACCAAGTCCAGCCCCTTATGAAAAGCGGCTTAGGCCCATACTTGATTACTAGGCCAACCCGTTCCGTTCATATGCAACCCGGTTGTTATCTGTGTCAGTCTATTCGCTAGAAACTTGCAAGAGAACACCGACAACAACCAGTCTCCAACGTGCAGTGGTCGAATCTGAGCAGCGAAGGCGGAACTGCGCCACCATGCCACGGCCACCGGCATTATCCTCGCTGCCGTAATAGCCACCGCCCGCTGTAATTCCTTGACGCACGCTATAAGTTATTTCAAGCTTAGGTTGCTATTACCTCATTTTTTTTTTTTATATCGTCCTTTATTATTGAATTTCGATATTATAAATTTTTTCTCAGGTTTATTGTTCGAAACATATTTATCTCTGATTTCAGTAATACACCTAAAAGTAGCATATAATTTGATTCTAATGCTATTTTCGGACACACTTGGACGTCGACTTTGTGATAAATTTCATTTTAACGTGGATCAATTTTCTTCTCATGTCGTTTGAAGTTGCAATTCCATTTGTTTTTTATAGTGACATTTTTTTCCCCTTGTTGCAGCATTTATAATTTTTTTAACATGTACCTTCACTAAATAGGGAATTCAAGAGAATTTATTCATCGTGATGATGCCTAAAATAAATTTCAAGTATTAGTTCAGGAGTTCAGTTCAAACTGAGAGGTCAGACATATTAACTGAGATTAAAAGGCAAGGGCTGAATGTCTCTTGAGGCAAGGTAACGGCTAGATAACCACAAGAGGTTCATAAAGCGTTAGGAAGCTATAATCAAGACACCTAATCTCAACCAATCAAGATCTTCTCCTAAAATTAAAGAGAACCCCATGAAATAAAGGCAAGAATCTCGGCCAGGATCCCCCTTAGCAGGGAATGACCTTATAAATGCAATATAACGCCTCCTAACAAGGGGAGAAACCTGAGAAATGCAAAGGGGCCATTGTAACCTTGTAACGACAATTATTGAAAGAAAAGGAGTAAGAGTCTCCATTCCAGAGTGGACTAGCCAAGCTCCCGAGCTGGTGAACCACTATATTTTTACTGTGTTAATTCTTCAACTCTCCAACAATTCCCTCGAATCTAGTAGCTCAGATCCCAATAATTCCAATATTGTTTACTCGCCATCACAAAATGGCTTCACGCTTAAATACACCATCAGTTTGGCTCCGTCTGTGAGAACGACTGTTCCTATTATAAATAAAGCTGATTTTTCAGTGACTGATAGTAGCAACGCGAAATATGAGCCGAAGTTAGACCAACCCTCTACGAATGCAAGATCAACAGGAAGTCGCAAATAACAAACAACCCGAAAACACGCAAGAAGCCGATCCCCCTATGGGGGGCCTTCCCATGAATCATGAGATGGAGGCCCTTCGTCTTGTCAATGAACGTCTGATAAAACAGAACGAAGAGCTCGTAAAGCTCCTACAATGCCCACAAGAGGCACGACTGGCCCAAGGAGGCTAAAATAATCCACCACCAAGGGAGCAACCATATCTTGACCCCCTCAAAGAAGTTAATGACGTAGAAGAGAATAGTCAGACCTTGGGACAAGAGCCTCGCCTACCCCCTAGAAATGGTCACAACGAGGAAGTGTAAAGTCAGTATAAGGAAGGGGAGATGAGCGACTTCTTCTCTTATCAACAGGAGAGAAGAGAATACCACTGGGAGCAACATTTCAAAAACATCCAGCAAGAGCTAAGCCAAATGAAGGAGGTAGTGAAGAGCAAGGCCCCAATCTCGATGGATGTCTTGGTGCAGCAAACCGAATCCTCATTCACTGCTGGGGTGATGCACTTCCCTCTCCCACCTAAATTTAGGATGCCACAAGTGGATGCTTTCGATGGGATAAAAGATCCTGTGGACCACCTCAATACCTACAAAAATCAAATGGAGTTGCATGGATATCAAGACTCATTGAGATACAGAGCCTTTGCTATCACCCTGAAGGGCTCAGCCTTAGCAAGGTTCAACAAACTCCCCCCAACCTCGATTTTCTAATTTAAAGAGCTGTCAATCTCGTTTGTGTCTCACTTCATCGGAGCTCGGACCTATAGGAAACCAAGCTACCATTTGTTAAATGTGAAACAGGGACCTGATGAGAACCTACGATCTTATGTCCAACGATTCAACTCAGAATCCTTGAAAGTAGATTTCTTAGACGAAAAATTTGTTATCACAGCCTTCTTAGCAAGTCTGGGAGTTCAGTCAAAAGATTTGATGTTTTCCATCTCAAAGAACCCCTTGGCTAACATGGCGGAGGTGCTTGCCAAAGCAAGAAAGTTTTTGCATGAAGTAAGAGGACATGAAAGGGATTGATCCCTCTATCATCACTCACAAGCTCAGCGTGAATCTAGCCTATAAGCCCATTAAGCAGAAGAGGAGGAGCTTCGCCCCAGAGTGTCAAAAAGCCATCAACAAAGAGGTCAGCAAGCTCCTTCACGCGAAAGTCATTCGAGAAGTGGAT